TTTAAGGCTATGCATAACCCATAGACAGTATTTGTACTTATATGTTTATAACTACCTCTTCATAAAGGGAAAACATAATATGTAAAGTCATATGTAACAGAGCTTACGCAAGCTAACAAAATATACTTTTTTTTTTTTTTGGTTGTCATGGGGCTTGAACTCTGGGCCTGGGCTCTGTCCCTGAGCTCTTCAGCTCAAGGCTAGCGCTCTACCACTTGAGCCACAGCCACTTTCCAAAATGCACATTTCATTAAGCTAAAGAACAGTTTTATTAGACAAAACTCCTAGCATGAGCTGACTTAAAGCACTCTGGCTGTGCTGCTCTTTACCTGTTCTTTTTCAAGCATATCTGCTTTACGAAGGATTTTCATTGCATACACATGCCCTGTATCTTTCTTCTGAACAAGCCGCACCTGAAGACATAAAAGAAATGCTAAGTCAAAAGTTCACACTAAGCCAGGTGCTAGTGGCTCACGCCTGTAATCAGGAGGCAAGAAAGTCCGTGAGACTCTTATCTCCAATAAACCACCAGAAAATCAGAAGTGGCGCTGTGGCTCAAGTGGTATAGAGTGCTAACCTTGAGCTGAAGAGCTGAGGGACAGCGCCCAGGCCCAGAGTTCAAGCTCCATGACTAAGAAAAAAAAATTTCACACTAATGCTTTTGCATGTTAGAGAAAGCATTTGTCACTTGGTGCTGGAACCCCAGGTCCCACAGTATGACACTTGAAAATCCTATAATTTAAATATAGCAACTAGTAGTAACAAAACAGAAGAAACTGCTTTCCAATGTTTCAAAACAAATACTTTCTGCACAGCATTGTGAGTGCTAGAAGCATCCTCAAAAATCTCAGCATCCGAGAAACTTGGACTTCCTAGTTGAAAAAAATAATCTAATATCACCTTCAGTTTCAAACTTAAGGACAAGTTATACCCCTGGCATGTATCATCCAGGCACCTCAGAATACCTAAATAAATTAGAGCAACAATTACAACAAAATGACAACTGATACATACAAGAAAAATGTCTTGTAATTTAAAATAAAGTAACTTGGGGGGGGGGGGCCTGGTCATGGGGCTTGAACTCAGGCCTGGGTGCTCTCCCTCAGCAATTCAACTCAAGGCTAGCACTCTACCACTTGAACCACAGCACCACTTTTGGTTTTTTGATGGTCTATTGGAGATAAGAGTCTTACGGACTTTTCCTGCCCAGGCTGACTTTGAACTGAGATCCTCATATATCAGCCTCCTCAGTAGCTAGGATTATAGGCATGAGCCACAGGCACATGACTTCTATAGTGTTTTATATTTGATATATAGCTGTGGTTTTTACCTCACCAAATGCTCCTCTGCCTATGACTTTTAAGGATTCAAAATCTTCCAATCCAAGTCTTGTTCTCTTCAAACGAAGAAACTCTGTTTCCTTCCGAGCATGTGCTGATCTCCTGAGTCGCTTCTAATATTTAAATAATGGAGGGAGGAAAACAGGAGGAGTGGGTAATTCTGGAACTGCAACAAAAATCATCTTTGTCTTGTCCAGCTAGAAATAGAAAGCAGGGCCACACGAAACTAGGCACAATCTTACACAAGACAGCACCTTCAAGAGGTCCCCCCTCCCTCCCCTGGCTTTCAGACACGCAGCTTCCTCTGAAAACCTGACTATTCTACTTCAGCAGCCCCTATTCTAAGATTTATAGTGAACAGAAAAAAAAAAAAAAAAACATTTTCCTTTAATCTTTTACGCAACATAAAAGTATCTTTTTATTTCCCTCTGGGCTTTCCCAGGATACTAGAACTTCCCATTATTCCTAAGTATGTTGGTTACTTTTGCCTCAGTCCTGGGTCTGTGACTCATTAGTTTTTTTGGGGGGTGGGGGGTGGGGGTGGTCATGGGGCTTGAACTCTGGGCTTGGGCGCTGTCCCTCAGCTCTTCAGCTCAAGGCTAGCACTCTACCACTTCAGCCTCAGTGCCATTTCTGGCTTTTTCTGATTATGTAGTGCTGAGGAAACGAACCCAGAGGCTCATGCACATCAGGCAAGCATTCTACTACCACTGAGCCACTTTCCCAGCCCCATTCTTATTTCTGAAGGCATTCCCAGCACTATTTAGTTACTAACACATCTGGCAGTACTGGAGTTTGAACTCAGATCCTCACAGTTGTTAAGTCACAATTTAAACCGGAGGTAGTCTTTTTTTTTTTTTTGGTCATGGGGCTTGAATTCTGAGCCTAGGCGCTGTCCCTCAGCTCCTCAGCTCAACGTTAGCACTCTACCATTTGAGCCACAGCACCCACTTCCGGCTCTTTTTATGTGGTGCTGAGGAATCGAACCCAGGGACTCATGCATGCGAGGCAAGTGCTCTACCACTGAGCCACCTTCCCAGCCCCCTATTTATTTATTTTTGTCGGTCATGGGGCTTGAACTCTGAGTCTGGGCGCTGTCCCTCAACTCTTCAGCTCAAGGACAGCACTCTACCACTTGAGCCACAGCGCCACTTCTCATTTTCTGGTGGTTAACTAGAGACAAGAGTCTCACAGAACTTCTGCTCAGGCTCACTTTGAACCACAATCCTCAGATCTCAGCCTCCTAAGTAGCTAGGATTACAGGCCACTGGTGCCTGACGTTACTACTTCTTCTAGTGATAACTAAGCTACATCCCAAATCTCTGAAAGTGTTCTTAAGCATTGAAGGAGAATCTGCATTACTCAGCCATTTGTACTGTTTTCCAAAGGCTAGTCTAGTCTTAATTATTTTCTCCCATGATATCTGTGAACAATGGGCAGAGGGCTGATTTAGGATAAGTTCTTTGTTTGACAATGATTTAAGAAATTTGTCTTATTGAAGACTTTTTAGTGAACTTTATAAGAATGCTTACTTTGTTCTCTTATATTTTAATTTGGCTGGGCCTTGGTGGCTCATACCTGTAATCCTACTTAGAAGGCTAAGATCGGAGAATTATGGTTCAAAGCAAGCAAGCCCAGGCAGGGAGGTCTGTGAGACTCTTACCACCAATTAACTACCAAAAATCTAGAAGGGCAGCTATGTTCAAGAATGCTAGCCCTGAGCAAAAAAGCTAACAGAGAGCTGGGAATGTGGCTTAGTAGTAGAGTGCTTGTCTAGCATGCATGAAGCCCGGGGTTGGATTCTTCAGTATCACATAAACAGAAAAGGCCAGAAGTGGCACTGTGGCTCAAGAGGTAGAGTGCTAGCCTGAACAAAAAAAGCTCAGGGACAGTGGCCAGGTCCTGAGTTCAAGCCCCAGGACCAGCAAAAATAAATAAATTAATTAAATAAAATACTAAGAGGTAGTGATCAAGCCAAGTTCAATCACCAGGATCAGCATAGATAAATAATAATAATTTGATATCAATAATTTCAGGGTTTCAACTCAGGGCCTTGGCGCTGTTCCTGAGCTTTTGTGCTCAAGGCTAGTGCTGTACAACTTGAGCCACAGCTTTACAACTGACTTTTTAGTAGTCAATTGGAGACTGATTTTCTTGCCCGGGCTGGCTCTGAACCAAGATTCCTCAGATTTCAGTCTCTTCAGTAGCTAGGATTACCGATATGAGCCACCAGCACGGGCCATCTTTTCTTTGTTTAGCAGTACTAGGGTTTGAACTCAGGCCTTGAATGTGCCAGGCAGGCGCTCTAGCCTCCAGGCAAGCCTCCTTAGCACTTTTTAGTTACCTGTGAGGTAAAGTCTTGCTTTTATGCTTGTGCCAGGCTGGTTCACCATTTTCCTTTTTATGCTTTCATATAGCTGAGATGACAGGCACATGCCACCCACTGCTATTCTACTTTTGCAGCCCATTATTCTAAAATTTCTAGTGAACAGCGACAAGCCCAGCTATTGGTTGAGGTAAGAGTCTCATAAACTTTTTGCCTCAAATCAGGATTCTCCTGAACTCTACCTCCCAAGTAGCTAGAATTAATTATAGGCATAAGCCACTTAAGCCCAGCTGATTTCATCCTTTCCTTTTCTTGGAATTCTACATCAAACTATGAAACTATGCCTAGACAAGTATTCCTCTCCTAGGTACTCAATAATTAGCTTTTCCCAAGAAATTCAGAAGCATGCTATCCCTCGGGTTCTTCTGTGACTGAGCCAAAATCCT